CTCTCTCTGTCCTTTCTCGCCTCATTGTGGAATTTTGAGACCTTCACTAATGAGAGGTAAGACCTTGTGTCTTACGGCAAACCCCACTTTGTACTGGTCCACAGAGGAAATTTCGGTGGCGTTTAGATGTCCGAGTGGGAATCGCTCCCGATTCAAAGGGCCACCAAGCTGTTAGCACCTCTAGAAGAGGTTAAGCTTTACAGTTCCTAAACCCCAATGTCCTTCCCTCACCTCCTGCTTCTTCTTCCTTTCAGTTTTGATGAAATCACAGGGGGATTTGACCAACTGCCCAAAGCCTTCCACAAAAAATTGCCCAACGTCATCAAGTTCAATAGCATGGTGGAGAAAATCATGACCAAGGGAAACAAAGTCCACGTGTTCTACCGCACTCCAAATGCTCTGAATGCAACCAGAGAAATCGCAGATTACGTCCTTGTCACGACCACTGCCAAAGCCACCAGGCACATCCAATTCCTGCCACCGCTCTCTCCTCCAAAGGCCCACGCCCTGCGCTCCGTCCACTATGCAAGCTCCACCAAAATAATCTTGGCTTGCTCCGAGAAGTTCTGGGAGAAGGACGGCATCCAAGGAGGGCATTCCATCACCGACCGCCCTTCCCGGTTTATCTACTACCCCAGCCACAACTTCTCCAGCGGGGTTGGCGTGATCCTGGCTTCCTACACCTGGAATGACGATGCTGAGTTTTTCCTGCCTCTCTCGGATGAGAAGTGCCTGGATGTGGTTCTCCAAGACCTCTCAGATATCCACCAAGTGAGAAAGGACCACCTGCAGAAGATCTGCAATCAGTACGTGATACAGAAGTGGCAGCTGGACAATTACGCCCTGGGGGCATTTGCTTCCTTCACCCCTTACCAGTTCACTGACTACTCGAAGGCTCTCTTTGACCATGAGGGCAGGGTGCATTTTGCAGGAGAACATGCAGCTCAGCCTCACGCCTGGATCGACACCTCCATGAAATCGGCCATCAGGGCTGCGAGCAACATCCACCACGACAGCGGCGAAGCCCAGATGCTGAACACGGAGGAAGAGGAGGAGCAGAAGCAGACAAGGAGTTTCTTGCAGAAGGAAGAACTCTGAGCAAGCCTCCTGG